TTTGTAGCTATTCACTTCATACTTTGGGCGATGCCCTTGCCCTCACCTACAACCGCGAACAAGCTCTTTACCTGGCCCCAGCCGCCTCCAGGACCGTTCATTCTGAACCACTGAACCTTCCGTTTCGGATACAAACATCTAATTGAGTTTCATTCTATACTCCTCACGGAGCCAGCAATTTTCTTTGTAGTTTGCGTTCCGCCATGTGCTTCAGCACACAAATCTTTCCCCAAGGAGCTTTTGCTGCAGACCCCCCCAACAGTTACGCTGGCTAGTCTCTACGGTTTCACTGTGCACCATGACTATGGGACCCCCCTCAGTTCATCTGCATCACTGATTGCTCTGCTTAATCATCTTCATTTTCACTTTTTATGACCCTGACCATAAGCCCAACAGTTCAAGGCCGAAAAGGTCTCATCTGTGATTTTATACTTTAGTTCACAGATCGTGACAATCCAGCTAGCACACCAAATTCGCCGTTCTGCTTCATCATTATCCGCAATTTAAAGTTTTTTCATCATCCACCAGGCAGGATGCCTCACTTTGCACTCTACCTATATGCTTTTTAACCATCACCTTCGAAACTTAGCGATCTCGTCTTGCCACCGCTTAACATAGCTCCCTCAAAGTAAGACGAACTCTTGAAAGCTGGGTCTCTTTTCTCGTGGAAGTTTGGGCGTGGTCGAACCTGCATCGGATATTGTGAACTATTTATAGTTTTGTAGCTTTTTCGTGCAATCCCCTCAAATTCCCCCAGTTGTGCTCAGTTCTGACCGTGACCTCCTGATCATGTCTCACGCTATGCCACTAGCTAGTTAGGAAAAACTTCATTATTAGTACTATCAGCGGAGTGTGTACATCCCATCGTTCCCCTTCATAGCGACCCACGATGGTAGTTAATTTTCTCTTTATAGTCCGGTTGATGCATTCTATCGGACCGTTTCCTTCTGGAGGGTGCAGTGTTGTCCTTGTTTAACGGGTCTCCAGGAGTGCACACGTTTCCCGCAGTAAGTAACCGTCAAAAGCCGGGCCCCCATCCAAGTGATGAATGCCTGGTACCCCATGGTGCGATACCCATTCAGCGATTATTACCGACGCAATCTACAGACATCTTGCTGCTTCAATGGCACAAAACATTTGGGTAAGTAGTCCACCATAAAGACGATGAAACTCTTCCTTTCCGGACTTCGACAGAGGTCTGATAACGTCAACACCCAATCGATGGTTTGGTCGTTTCACGGAAATCTGTCGGAGCAGTTTCCTAAATGTTATGGTTAGAGGCTTCGATTTCGCAGGAACAAAACAGTGCCGGCAGAAATCCGCGGAGTTGCAGCGTAGCAGTAACCACCAATAGTGCCACCTAACGTGCATTTCCGTTTCATGCCAAGCATGTTCAATATCTCGGTGGACATCTGTGATGGTCTGCTGGACGCAGTTAACTGGAAAAACGACGCCGAGCTAACCATCCTGACTATCCACAAAGTGGAGCACTTGTACTTGCCCCAATCTAACCACAAACTCCCTGATGCCGGGGATCTCGAGGCCAACAGGAGGCCAGAGGGTTTGGAATTGCCCTGTTGCCTGAGGCAGAAAATCTCACCAATATCCATCTCCCTGGATTGTTCTTCCCAGTTCATTCGATTAGACGCAAAATGGACTCCGGTTTCTTGGCTGCTCTTCGGGAAATGGTTTTGGTATTCGTGTGTCTAGTGCCCATACAATAAATGTCCTCTAGTAAGCGCACAGTCTGACATCAAGCCCGAGGAAACTCTCCAAACACCGTGGTGAGTAATGGTACGTCCGGATAGGGAAGTGCCTGGCAAACAGTTACGGCCGGACGTGATGGAGGAAATACACCGGAGCAAGCAGTTTAAGTCGGGCGGCATAGTGGTTGCCTTCATGTGTACATGGCTGCCATATGCGTTAGCAACGTCTCGATCAGCCATACGTTGAGGGAGTACGGGGCCAATTGCCATTTCGCCGTCATCAGTATCTGAGACAAACTCTCCTGCACCAGGTGAGAAATACTTGTAAGCTAAGATAGGTTAATGCCTGGTTAGGGTGGTTGAAGGTTTCAGCACATTCTACAGTTCACGGAAATTTTCGACCCTCGTGGGTAAGCCTGTGAAGTGGTGCGCTTTTTCCGACAAAACCCTCAGTGGATCTCCGCTAGTATAATGTAAGCCCGAGGAAGCTGCGTGGGCCATGGATATCCGTCGGTAGCGGTCATTCAGCAATGTGTTTGGTCTTATCCAGGTTCGTTCCGACCCCTTCGGGAGAGAGAATGTGGACGAAGGACAGTGCCTCAAGTTGGAGGAACTTGTATTTCTCCGCGCGGAGGGTTCGGCCGGCCTAATTGGTGCGATATATGACTCCTCGCAGCCGACTTTTGTGCTCACCAATCGTCCGGCCATGAACAATGATGTCGTTTAGGTACATCAAGCAAGAGTTAGGGACCAACCCTGCAAGTAACGTCGGTATGAGCCGCTTAGATGTTACTGGTGTATTCGTAAGTCCGATGACGTTGTTTTGGGTTCATAAAGACCATATGGCATTGCGAAAGCCGTTTCGCAATGGTCTTTTAAATAAGCCTCGACCGGCCAATATCCAGAAGTTAAATCAAGAGTGGAGAATCACTTTCAGTCAACCAATGCGTCGTCCATATGTGGAAGCGGGAATGAGTTATTTGTTGTTTGTCCGGACATACATGTAAAGTGCCCTCTTTTTTACCTGCATGATTGGTTTGACCAGGGTGAGGAAGATGGGCGCGTGTTCTTTTTTCAGCATCCCGAAAGCACTTTGTTAAGTTCACCCAAATAGTGGATTGGAACCCTCTTGGGTTGGCTTATGACCACCTATGTTAATGGCTTCCCGAAGGACTTTGCTTCTCACCAGAGACGGTCTAAGATGCCAGCTCGCTGTAGAACTCCGGAAGCAAGGTAATTACAGGCCTCTTTTCCGTGCCTTGGATGCTGGAGCACAAGGCATGTAAATTTTTGCGTTAACAGACAGGGTACTATTATCTTCTGGTTTAGAGAACCGGACGGTCCAAGCCTGGGCATCAATGTGTGCTATGTGCAGGACTAGGAAAGTCAGGCCCACAATCGGACCCGAGTGGATTCGCGCACAGATGAACGTGAAATTATCAAGTGCACCTGGTAAAGAAAGTACCGCCGTATTCATATGTCCGGGATTTCAGCTGCTAGCTTCCTTGCCGAAGTTAAACTAACCGATGTGCACTCTGAAGTTAGGGCGAAAAGTTTCTTTTGTATCCGGAAAATTCAATGCTTTCTCAGTTTAACCTTGAGGTCCGTTTCTGAAGTGATGTACCTACTATAGGACACCTGTTTCCTAAACTAGCTGGAAAATAATTCAGCGTGACTTCTGGAGTTCTTCCTAAAGGGAGGGGGCTCAATATAAATAATGCCAATAAAGCAATAAAAAAACTCAGACACTCAGGATCCTGAAAAAAATCAGCCCTCTAATAATTATAATTTATCCGGTTCCTTGATACATGCTAGCGGCATTTTTGATTCGTGATTAGCCATTGCCTGCTCACATGGCTTGAATGCAGTGGTATTTTCACGCTCAAGTGCGATGTCCTCTGTTTCAGTTGCACGATGCAAAAAAATCAGCCCTCTAATAAGTATAATTTATCCGGTTCCTTGATACATGCTAGCGGCATTTTTGATTCGTGATTAGCCATTGCCTGCTCACATGGCTTGAATGCAGTGGTATTTTCACGCTCAAGTGCGATGTCCTCTGTTTCAGTTGCACGATGCAAACATCGACCAATAATCTTAATTAGCTCTAACATACTATTGACCCCATACTGTTATAAACGATCGCGTGCACTGGTTACTTTCAATGATTCGCGGATTAATAAACAGGATCGAGGCGTTCGACCAAGTGTTCTGGGTCGGTTTTGTTCTTATCATACTGCGACTGCGGTGTACCTGAAAGGCACGAACGAAAATGGACGAAGCACGGCTCTTTAAGTTGTCAGCGCAGAGCGGTAAACTTGTAAACGCAAGGACTTGGGCGAAAGCCTTGAGTGTGTATCAATGCGTGAATAATTGTTGAATTCTTCCACTGAAGTCTCTCCCACGGTGACCCTCTCGTGTTTTCATTGCTGATTATGAGCATTTATGAATTTTGTTCTTGTGATACGCCCTCTTTTTCGCTCCGCGGCTAAATGCTCAATAAAATTTTGGTGATAATTTTTGGATGAGTTGCGCGTTGGTGTCCCTTGTCGACTGACTAGTAAACTGAACATCACCAGGTGGCTGACCTTGAGACCGCGTGGTGCCTATGCGCGTTCCCTGTGAAAATGGCATCTCGGGTAATTTTGGTGTGTATCCTAATGTATTTGTGCTATTCATTAGAATCTGTTCCCAGTTTTCAGACGCAGCGTGCTTACTACTCGTGATTACCGTTGGCCGAAGTCGTTATACGATAAGTGGGAAGCCATGGATAAAGCCGTTGACATAGAAGGAAAGGGCGGCGGAATTCTACCTTTCAAACAGGACAAACCATACGCTTTGTTGGCAAAGATGGTGCTGTTTATTTCGACTGCATACATCCCGCCTTTCATTTATGTTTACCTGCATATGAAGCCGCCTGGTTAAATGTTGTGCAGTTCATTGTGTGGTTTGAACCACGTTAGCTTAGGGGTAATACTACTGAGTTATTACTTTCTTCGGTTTCTGCTTCGCGAAATTGCTTGATTGGTTGGTTGGGTGGGAGGCCCGGTTGTCTGTGATGTTGGTGTGCGCTCTGCGGTGCTGCGGGTGGCATTCGATAATCGAGGCTTCATGAAGTTAATCAACGCGATGATTGCAAGACAGCACCTGTATGCAGGCGGCCGAAAGCACATCGGGGCGCTGGGACGTTTTGATGTAGGAAAGCAACAGGATATGAAGCAATCAGAAAGCACGACCACGATTATCCCCAGCCTTCTATTGGTGTCCACATTAACGATCTGGTTCAACTAATTGTAAATGAGTCGGGCGATGTGGTTATGGCGTGGGGGTTTAAGGCTGAATTTAGGTTTGGTGTTTTGGAGGCAAGGTCTAGTTTCAGGGAAAAATCTATTCACAGCCAATGTATGGAAAAAAGTAAGGCAATGATGATACTTGTACTGGTCTTATAGCAGTTAAGCACATGCATGGATTTTTGGTGTATTACTTTTACAGGTGGTAAAGTTTCCTACCATTTTTTCGCACCAAGCTCGACAGGTACAGTCTATGATCCAGTACTGCGCTAATTTTCGTAAGTCCAAAAATGATTCAGCTTTAGCATCCTTTGGATGCCTAGCTACCATGTCTAAAGAGGGAAGTGCGACGCCTGACCTACCTATGAGCTGCTTAAGCCCAAACAAGAGCGGCTGAGGTGTAACGATCGGGTTCGGACCACAGACCTGATCAGTAATTTCGTGCTTTAACCACTGGGCCATCTCTCTTGCATTTCGAGAAAAGTGATTGATGGTTACCTCACGCGCCTGCTGGTATGTGGAGAGGTACCAGCCAAAATACGAGTTTTCGTGGTTACGAAGACGACAAAAAGTAGGCAAATTAATCATTTCTTGGCAGAGGTGTACCTGCGACAGGGCAGCCACACATAAAAATACTATGGGCAAAGTTGAATCCGAGGTCGCCATATCAACCGTATATACTATCGGTCCCTACCAGAAGTATTGCTGGTATTCATGGTTTCTAGGCTTAGTGGCAGCACTGAGTCGCGGAGGCCAGAGAAATACGAAGCACCATTGTCTGTTGTCTGATTTGTCCGCCCTTAAACGGCTGATACTGCGGGATTTCTTGGTGACAGTCCTGGTCGCAGCGTCGAGTGGTGAGGCAAGCACATTGTGCACTGCGGTTTCAATGGAGAACTGAGATTCAGGTGGCAGATGGATACAAGTTGAATCTACTTACGGTCCTTGAGCCCAGTTCAGCACGCAAGACGGTCAGTAAGCTCCTCAGGCCAACCTAGTTAATTATCCGCTGACAACACTTCAACTATTAGGAACGCAATAAGCTCTTCACTTGGTTGACAGTTCTGTAGAGCAAGGGGAAATTTTGAGATGCCCGTTTGGTCACAGTTAGTGGCTGATTCCATCAAATCTAGACAAACGTGAATTAGGAAAGTCAGTAGCTAAACATAGTCAACAAGGATCCAAAAAAAATAGGAAATATGAAATAGTAAGAATCCTTCTAAGGAAGCCAGAGTGTGAGGAAAATCGCTTACTGGTTATCACCTGCGGCGGTTCGGTGCACCTGCCCATCGTCTGTTTAGACTCAGGAGTTGCGGGTGATAGGTCATCTGGCACTGTTTCAGTTATTCGCTACACCGCTAGGGAGGGCCTACTCGGGTTCTATGGATTTTCTGCTACTTGGTTTAAAAATTTTCCCATCATCATCACTGACAGCAACAACAGAGAACACTGGTACTCCACTACCTTAGGACCGTGTTTGTTAATCTAAATGCAATCGTACGATGGAGGAAAGTTGGACAGGGAGCGCACCCAAGTCTGGTCATTACGAGCAGGAGCCCGCACATCCAGATTTTACTTAGACATATTGGATAGAAATTGACATGAGTGCCACCGAAATCCACCAACTTCCATATTTTTCTGTATCGCCAGTCAATCACAAAAAGGGCAAAAGACTAACAACAGCCTTTGATAACACCCTTCATCCACCGTCATTTTATATTCTGTCGGTGTCTAAGTTTTGGTCATTTCGAATTAAATACGGAGTAAAGTGCTCTTCCCGGCTAACGGTAACTCGGTATGCGTAGCACATGGCTCCCCTTGCAGTGCCTTCTGTTTTAACAAAGACCTTTTCACTAGTCGTCCCTATGTGAATTTGGTAATTCCAGCCGGTTGTCCCTAGTCCTGAGAAATCGTTACTCAGACTTGAAGACATCTTGGAACCTCCACCCGAAACCTCGCAGCCGTACAGTACTAAAGCCCAGACTGTACCCTGATACACGCATCCTTTAAAGCCCATTGATGTGCAAATTGGCCGACGCATTTGTTAGAGATTCGTGCGTCGACTTGGTCTGTCGACCATCATAGATAACTAAATTTGAGTCATGTACCGCCACCTCAGTTGTCTCCTTGAAGTCCCAGGTATCTTTAAAGACCATGCGTCCCGCAACTGCAGTTTCTAGGTGCAAAGCCTGAAGGATTCGATGATCGTAGCCGGTTGTCATTTTAGTGCTTGCGGGCTCCGGTTCTTCGTCTGCGTACCCCACGTTGACAACATTCTCGCCCGGAGGGGCCTGCACACCGGGGATTTTGAAGATTCTCCAGAGTTCCCACTACATCATGAATGCCGAAGCCAAACAAACATGGACAGAGTGGATGTCGCGAGAGTCGAAGAGTTTCAGGACGAGATTAGAAAGAAGACAGAATAGAAGGGCGTAATGTGCGCTTTAGTCGTCTAATAACGGTAGTACATGAGCTCAAAATATGGAGTGAGAATTACGAGTTAATGGTGTATGCAAAGGTATGGTTTATACGGTCATGACCCTTTTCGGACGCACTTTGTAAGAAGACTTTTAGCGGGCCGTTTATGTTTCCACAGGCGCCCACAAACATGTGCATACAGGCAGCGCGCGGACTTCCGGGGTACGCCCTGTTGCTCAAACGCGCTGAAAAGAACAGCGGTCGACAGAAGTGTGTCCCGTGAAATCAAGGACCGTGAAGGTTGTAGAGCGCCTACACGCATTCCATTGCTCTGAAACTTGATGATATGAGGATATGGTTCGCAAAACCACTTCGGGGTCGAAGTCATGTTTGGTGTTCTCGAGTCATGTCTCCCGAGCGCCCGCAAGACGATGCACATAGTCCATTTACAACGGATTGATGCTAATTGTTCTGTGGCTATCGTGTTCAACACGAGCACCGTTTCCAGCTCATCATGAGTTGGTTGGGCGTCTTACTCATGTAGAGGCATCAACTGGAGGTTTGACCTTCATCCCTATACAGAGCGAATGGGGTTCGTCAGAACCAGCCACCTGGTGACGCTTGAGGGAGATACCGTGTTCGCACGCTTCTGAAGCTGTCAGAGGTTCCAGATTTACTGTCCGGCGCTTCGCGGCCAGTTGGGAGCCATAATGAATAGTTGTAGGTAGCCAGTTGAATCTTTGTCGGAAGTTTTCAGGCCAACCATTCAAGAATCCTTTTTTAGGGCTGGTCGACCGATTGGTTGTTTTGCTCACCAGATTAATTTTTGCATGTTTCTATCGTTTTTCGCTTGCCCCATTTCCTCAAACTTGTGGACCATGCTTCTCGATCCGGCCCAATACCTGACATGATAGTTTGTCGAGTTCTATTACACACTCGAACAGAGGGAGTACTTGTCCGAGCTTCGGAAAAAAATCGTTCAGCTGTAGCACCCTTTCGGCGCCTAACTGCCATGCCACCCCAAGGTTGCACGAGGGCTGGGATATTGCCAGGTTGCCCAAGCCTAGACAGGGGAGTCGAGAGACAGAGGTCGGGTTCGAACCACGGACCTTCTGGTCAGTAAATTTGCACTCTAACCACTTGGGCCATCTCGCCCCGGGCAAGCTCATGGTTTACTAGACATCCGCTGCTCAGAACGTCCCCGAAGTAAAGCGACCAGCTTCTTGAGGGTTTGCGGATATTACTTTTCAGTAAGAGTCGAAATCAGTTTGCCCACTGCTCTCGATCTAAAGCTGTCACCTTGACGTTGTGGTCGGGCCTGGGTGTTGCAATTACTCTTTGGGCTAAACTCACTGGAACTTCGGTGTACAATGTGCAACCATGCCAGGAAAGCCAAAGGGAAGCAGTCAGACCAAGAACAACGAGGGCCTCTACTACGAGGCAGCCTACGAATAAAACCGTACGGTCTTCCGCGATGGGAGTGTGATGACAGTAAGTTGTTTCTCCCAGATGACTAACATCGATATTCATGGAAGCAGCGATGCTGCACCCTCCCAGGAACGACGCGTTAGAAAAGGTCGGCATTAGAGTGTGGTGACAGTAAGTTGTTTCTCCCAGATGACTAACATATCGATATTCATGGAAGCAGCGATGCTGCACCCTCCCAGGAACGACGCGTTAGAAAAGGTCGGCATTAGAAACCACGCACTCTCACCGCTCAACTGTAAACCGTGACCGTCAGCGAACTATTCAACCAGAGTCTGATGCTGCTTAGAAGGTACCTGCTGTGCGCATGCGCATTAGCAGTGAGACGGTACTGCCTTAAGCTTTGCACCCTCGGGTTAGGCCAACCTTTTTAGCCGAGCAGGTCAAATGATTGAGTCGTCGGCTCCGGGCAGGTCCCCAAAGAAAACCCTACTGCCAGCTTTTGCGTTACAGGCTAGGGACAAGGTTCCCGAACAGAACCCCACATCTTCCTAGTGCCTTGTGGGTCAGACTTTTGAGTCTAAGTCTCCATGTGGGGTACCTTAACCAAACCCCTTCCTTGGCCTGCAACCTGGGAGTACCACTTGGCCGCACAGTTCTTCGTCCACCGATGTCCCTATCCCACCATTCCCCACTACACAAGGAAAACGTTGATGGGTCACGTGATTTTTCACCTTTGCGTACGTCCTATTTGTTGCGTTTCCCTGACGCACGTGAATACACCGTACAATCACCATATACTAAGCACAGGGCTACGCATATAACATGGAGGGCCAGGATAAGATCACCATGAAATGAATATGTTAGCGACTTTACCCCTCGTCGGAGCATACCTGACCTGTGTGGGCCGCCATCCTTTGGAGTCTTGCAACCATGGAACCAAGAGTTTTCGTGTTGCCCACATCAACGTCCCGTGGACATATAGAGTGTTGATGCTAGGCTCGAAATCGGTGTGCGAATAGGTGTACCTATTAACGTTTTTAGGCGGGTTCCAATTGTTCGAGTACTCTGAGACAGTTCAAGTGTCCCCAAGGTCGATGCCCGTCACACAGACAATGGAGAGCGAATCCTCCACTTGTGTGCTGGTCGTAAAATGTTTCTTGCCATTACGAACTTTCAAATGAAACGTTGGCCTCGCGTAACTTGGCTGCATCCAAGTGCAAGTCAACCATGAACCCAGTTGGGTCACGTAGCCATCAGCCACTGGTGCAGAGCCACAATTCAAGACTACCGTTCCTTGTGGGATGCACGGCTGGATTCCGACCACGCCATGATGGAAGTAGGCCTGTCAGTTCGCTTTCTTTCAGGTCCCCACAGGTGAGCAAGAAACATGTCAATTTATCTCCAGAGAGCTCCCGTAGCTCAGCAGTACCAATCTGGGCTAGCTCAACAACTCTACACTAAGCCAAAACTGTACTCATAGTGAGCACGTAGATAGAATCAAAATACCATGAAATCGTCGAGGTCGCTAGCCCCAATGATACCAGGAAATCAATGCACCTAAGGCAACGCACGCAGACCCTTCAGGTGCCAGATAGTGAAGAGCCTAAGGAAAGATCAAGAGCTTTGGTGGACACCGAAAGTCCAGAAAATAGATAAGGCTTTTGCCACCAGAAACAACCTTGTCTTATATCAACTGATATGATTGATTGGCAAGTGGAAAGCAGCAGTCAGTAAACGATGAGTAAAAAAGCGGCCCATTAAGTCACTCGCCAAAACACTGGCTGGAAAGATAGACCGAACACCTTGAAGTGCAGTTAAGCTGCCCCTCTGCAACACAGCCTCTGGATATGGTGCACACGAGCGAATGAAAGGTAAACTTTATTCGCCCACCGGAAGAGGAAATCAAGTACGAAATATTCCCACCGAAATGACTGAAGGCACAAGATGGTCTGTATCCAGCCCTTTACAAACACGCGATTCCCTGGCTGTCTATCCAGCAAAGCTCATTAGTGCGATACGGAGTGCCTGCAGAAACGGGAACGTCAACAGTTATTCCAAAAGAGTGCGAGGACACTGTGTGAAAACCACCACGCAAACAACCTGGTAGCTGTGGCATTGAACGTGCTCTCTGGTCTTATCCTTCTAGGGTTGACTGAATACAGGGAGAGACAGATCTGAGACTTGATGGGTCCCATCATGCAAGAGGATGCATCGTTCACACTTCCACTCTCCGACAGATTCTGCAACAGCGACACTGCTTCTTGCAACTAAAAATGGTTGCCTCCCTAGACTTGAAAGTTGCCTTTGACTCTGAACCATCAGGCACTGGCAGTGTCTATGGAACAAAGACCCTGCAAAAAATCTTGGTCCTCCTTGACGCGCCGTGCGCCAACTCCCACGGACGTGTGACCTTCTACGGTAAACATCAAAAGCTGCCAGGCAAGGCTGTGGTGCGCTCCATATTATACGGGTCAGAACAGCTTGTCACTGTGCGCTGAGGGCGTCAAGGCCGTCAGTGTTTGACCAGGTCTGATGGGAACACAAGATCAGTACTTTTGAAGTGTAGAATATCGTTCGTAGGAGGTAACTCGCCCATAGTAGATGAGATAACAACACTCCATGGGTTGCGCTGGCTTGTCCACGTGCTCCGTAAGCCAATCGACCGACTTCCTCGAAAGGTTATTTTCACACAACCACGCGAAGGGTGGAAACGAGCCAGGTAAGGTCAGACATTGACCCGAAAGAGAGATATGAAAGCGGTCACCAGTAATCTTAGCTGCGCTGGTCATTATCGTCTCCCTGAATGGGGATCCTAAGACGGGACACATAAACGCCTAGAAAAATTTTCCGACACGGCCAAGTCGCGCTCGTGTATCTGAGTTGTTGCCTCGCCTTCAGATCTCCCGAATGAAGAGCACTTACTACCATATATTGACGCTGCTGCCTCCAATGCACAGCTTCTCTTCTCCAAACCATCGTAGAACGAAGCTGCATTGGATGTAACTACTGTACAGCAGGTACACAATTTTTGCACCTGGTGCTACTTAGGTTTGCTTCCGAATAGCTCAGATCAGTAAGTCAAGTGCGTGATCGGAATCCAAATAGGTGTCTCACCTGTAACTAAGGGCGATGTGGTCTATCTGTATTGAAATTTGGGTCACGTCTACCGAGATGAGTGTTGTTCCCCGTGTCTTCGAGTTAAACAACGCGTGGCTTGTTATAAGGGTGTGAGAAAGATTACTAAGAGTTTGGGTGCTGTTGGTGTGGTCGGACTTTCCAGGTGTGCTCTCCGAGACCCTCTGCACTTGACGGTAGACATTGCAAGAAAGGATAACCAATTGGTGTCAGTCGCGTTCGTGTCGTCTGTTTCTTTTCAGATTGTCTGATTGAACGCTCAGAAATGTAGCCCCTACAGAATGCTTGCGATAGGCTACCACTAGGTCCCTTCCTTCACACACTTATCTGCTTTTCACCCTGAATCTTTAAAAACAGAAACTTTGCAGCCATATGGCAGTGAAGCATTACTATCGACACTGACGTTGTTCCCTGTGATAATGAGACGTTGTAGTTAACATGAATGGGCGGCTGACTGATTTGTTAGTGCTTGTGAATGGGCTTACTAAGATGTCGCTAGCAACCGGGTGGGGAGAAAAATGGACATGAGGGGAAAAAGAGAGGCGTCAGTGGTGACCGTCTCCGCTTACCCACCCTGCGGTACGCGGCAAGGTAGGCGACCCGGTTGATAATACCACGCGACCGTCGATGTCGGGTGAGGATTCATTCCTGTATGTGGCCTGGAATACTACCACGGTTCAACAACCAGACATGAAAAAGATTGGGTTCCCAGACTAGAGCCCAGGGGCAGGGCAGCACTGATAGGTTGGAGACCGACAACAGTCTTAAGGAGCATGTCGCCACAGGGACTCCGGATGAGTGCCGGAAACGTGTACCAACCAGACAGAAAAAGATTGGGTTCCCAGACTAGAGCCCAGGGGCAGGGCAGCACTGATAGGTTGGAGACCGACAACAGTCTTAAGGAGCATGTCGCCACAGGGACTCCGGATGAGTGCCGGAAACGTGTACACAGCAAACGCACAACGGTTGTAATTTAGTGTCAGCTCCTTGCAGATATCGTATAGTGATTGCCCTTCAAGAGATTTACATGTTTGAAATAGGAACAAGTGAGAACAGCGCGTACGTCTGTTAGCATGCACATATGAGAGAGAACATTCGTAGCCCAAGTTACTGTCAACTGTTCATCTTTGGAAAGCAAACACATCTGGTTGAAAAGTTGAAAGATTCGCGTTAATTATTTCAGGGATTAATCCAGTGATCGTCATTGGATCGATGGAGTCGAAAACTATGAGTAAAGGGTGCTGCTTACCTACGGATTTTGGTTCTTCAAATTAGTCACTACTGAGATGGAATGTATTATACAATGTACACACAATCAGTAAAGACTGAGGGATTTGTGGTTGGGTTGCACTTCTTCCTGAGTGTGCTCCATATCTCTCAAGGATCGGGCTATGCAGAAATACTGATTTGTTTTGAGCCACCTTAATGACCAACGTAATGATCGGTTTCACTGAGGGTCTTCGGAAAAAGGACCCGTGTCCCATGGTTTCCTTCCTGCGTGCGTCACCACTTTCCACTGTCCGCGTGTACCGCACTAAGAGGTCCTGACTGAGACTACGTTAACAACAAATCTAACCAGACTGATCGAGTTAACTATAGCGGCGTTCTACTTCATACGCGGAACTGCCTTTGTGCAATCTAAAACAGCCCGCACGAGAGTAGCAAACAAGATCACGACGGAATGCAAACCAACCAGACCATTTGGCGAGAAATAAAGTCAGCACAAGTTCATGCGGCCGTCAGGACTTTAAAATGAAGTCAGTGGAAAACAACAAGTAGAAGAACGGGTTAATTTGAGAAGCTTCCGTTTCGCGCGGATCGAGTAAAACTGCAACGAAGTTAGAGGGTTGACAAATGAAACGTAACAGAAGACGATTGTTTTGTTGTTGAAATTTGAGAGGAGCAATTTGGAATTCGAATGGGGATCAATATGGCAGACGCTAAACAAATTACCAGTCACTCTTTTGTTGTGATATGTTCATTGGAATGTTGTTGGACAGCACCATATTGTCATACCAGACTACCCCAGGGACTGTTATGAAAGCTCCTTGGACAGGCGAAGCAGTGACGGAACAAGAACTCCAGAGTATTCAGAACCGTTTCAACTGGGTATCAAACTTGGAATATAAGTGAGGTCAAATGCAGTTCCACTGAAAGAAATATGGCCAAAACAGTGCCATTTCAGAACAAAGGAAACTGTCCCGATGCAAAATACAATGAAAGTGGCAGTGACGATGTATGATTGAGCGAGCTGACCGGCCAGCTGGCTCAGTGGATGAAACGTATCGAGAAAAAACTAATTCTATGCGTATGAGCAAGCATTGTGAACCGGTAGATAGTTAAATTTCGGAGTAGCTGATGGGCTGCATTAGCTGAGCTGTTCACTGAGAAGAGTAGGATGTGGAAGTGGAATGTTATCTATTAGTTCCAAGCCGGAGGATGAGTTGGAGAAACAGCGACCACCATCCACGACCGGAAGGAGACCCGTAGTGTTAGAGTTGCACCGATCAGATGTATCAGCTAACCGCTGCACAAGAGGAGAACGATAAATCCAGTTCCCACCTTCTCCACGGAAATATTCTGGAATCCACTGAATTTTGTTTTCTTGCCTGTGGCGAGCTAGATCACGTTGCTTTTGCTCCAGGCGGAATTTGGCGTCTGTCGCGGCATCGATGTCACCACTTTTCAGGTTTCGTGTGACCTGCTCCCATAAACTTAACAGAAAAGAAGATGGGAACACATATGAAATGGAAAACAATGTATGGAGCACTCATTACTTTGGAGCTATTGGAAACATCCAAAGACCGATTCTACGTTTTTTCAGAGCGGAAATAACTTAGGTAGGAAATTAGGATGCTGTGCTGTTTACGGTAGGGGGCACGGTTCTACCTATGGATGAAGTCCATGAAGACGGACCAGGATCTCAAACCACAAGAAGATCCGAGGATTGCGTTCCACCGACATGTCCACTTCTGAGTCAGTGTCTCCTCTCACATTGTGTGGGACTGTTTTGGGAAACACCACGCGAAACGAAGTGCCTGTCCGGACCACTGTCAGTCGCTTTTTCTCAATCACGGTGCTTCCGGGTTGTTTGTCAGAAGAAAATTAACTCGAAAGCACTTAAACTACTCTAAACACATATATAAACCTATAGTTGCATATGAAGCATGTTCCATAACGGAGCGCTAAATACTGCACCATATCGAGCATCAGTGACCCTATAAAAAGTGTGAATTCCCCACCGTGTAGTTGAAATAGCCAACCTGACATAACCGTAGCTTATAACTAACGGTAACGAAGAGAAGAGCCACCCAAATATGAACACGAACAGAGGGCCTAATGTAAAGACTCAAACCGGTACAGACCGACTGCAGTCGGTCAACGACAATACGAGTCGTTATTCAACTTGATGACATGAAAAGAAGTAAATTCGGGGAAGAAAACACCGGATGTATCCCTGATTCTATGACACCAAACGAATATTTGAAGTATTTGGGCGACTGATCTTCTGAGGGACAGTACGTTCTGAAAAAAACTCGATATATCAGATACAAGATATCTACTCCATTTGAATAAGGAGGGTCAATCGGAAACGAGCTGTTTAGGCGATCAGGATGCAGAACCCCAGAATTTTTCCAGGGACCCCATTTAATATCATGCAGCAAGTGTTGTCACCAGTCCTTCATGAGCCTATCTAACTCCACGAGAAAACGGTTCGCTTTTGGTCAGATACGACGGTTGTCCAGGTGGTGTTCATGTTGTCTTTTCTTTCCAGATTGTCTGATTGATCACATGGGGATGTAGGCGCCTCAGGATGCCTGCGATAGGCCAGCATCAGGCTGCCTTCCTCACAAACTCTACCCTTCTTTTTACTCCAAGGCTTTAGATACAATTAGACAAGCTTTGTGGTTGCACGGTAGTGAAGCGTTGGTGTCAACACTGATGCTGCTGTCATTGATGATTTTGAGAAACAGAATGAGGAGGAATGCGTATGTATTTAGTTATAAAAAATGGACATCCCAGCTAGGCCTCCGTTTACACAAAACACCTATACACACATTACCGCATGGTGGGGTTACCTATACTTTAGGGAAGCCTTTGGCTATGTGATTAGAAGACAGGCGTTTCATGATCAATCTCTGAATGATTGATGAGAATTACAAGACAGTGCTTAGAGTACCTGCGAGTTTTTGTCTAGATACCAACAATTCTGGCACTGATCAGCGTGAACCACTAGTGGGTAACACTAAGAAACCGACCCAGGCAATGTCGGGTAAGGGTCATACAGTGTCCACTTTAAGTGAGTGGGCGATTTCCGTTTTATGGCATCTGTTACTGTGAGAACGACCACAGCAGAGGGTAGACGACGCTGGCAACTAATCAGACTGTGGAGAACCAGGAATGTATTCCGAAAGCTATGTGCCCCAAGAAAATACATGAGGACTTTTGGTGCAGATATCGACCTATGAGTGAGGCCAATTTATGTTAAGCCGAGAATAATTGTACGGTTGATACATCCTTATTAGGAATCATCAATAATGATGAAACACCCGTGCGGTGCTTTTCAGCATAACGAAAGCCCCAAGAAAATACATGAGGACTTTTGGTGCAGATATCGACCTATGAGTGAGGCCAATTTATGTTAAGCCGAGAATAATTGTACGGTTGATACATCCTTATTAGGAAAGATCGCTTGAACGGGAGAAAACTGGACAATGCTTACCTAAGGAGGAACACAGGTAAAGTATAAGTAGTGGTGTTTCCGATCACGAAGGTAGACCCATCCACCTCAGACCTAGTCCATGGACGACTGCCCGTATTCCATTTCAACTAAACTCATCAAATTTGTTGCTCTGATTCCATGCACAACTTTAGAAGCCATTTCTAACTCCTAGTTTACCCCATATAGGGTACCTAACCGGAATTCCATATTCATGGTCCAAAGAGTGAAGTGATAAACAGTGGTAACATAATCACATACAGGAAGCGTGACCAAGGTTTGAGTAAATCCCCGTACGTTGAGGTTTTGTGTTGAAGCAGTGTCGTGTCCACTACTGGGGCATGTCAGTGTTTTCTGTAGCGTATTTGATCAAGGTTCCATAATGAACCGAAAATAACATGAGCAACAGTATATTTAAGAAACGTTTTTGTCTCCCATGTACCCATAAAACATACTAAGTAACAGGAATCATTCGCAGCTAGAGCACGACCAGCAACTTACCGTCTGGATTCGTTTTCAGACTGTGCCGTTCTGGGAAGTACTTGCTTCCTCAGAACCGGTATGGATTTAGTGTCCACGAACGTCTCAGTAGTCTACGGAAACGATAAACGAATCGGCAGAACGAAGTGTGAGCAGTGCCACTATTGACAACAAGAATACAGAATGAATGATATATAGAATGAAACACTGGAAAAGATTGGATAGATAGTGAACTGCAGCAATCCAGACTAACTTACGATTGGAGCGATGTCCGGTGGCTCTGCCATAAAATACTGAGTATCCCAGAAACAATGTGTGATGAACAGTCGCACACGAAAAGTGTAACACCCATTTTTCGATACACGTCTATGGTGCTCCCGGGTTTTCAAGGCATTAGCCTCAAGGTGCTGCCGTATGAAGGTTACCAACCACTTCTGGCTTGTTTACATTTTCTGCAGAAGATTTGCGACTGGCCAGGTACATTCATTTGTAAAATTGATTGGTGTCAAAGACTAGAACTCAACCGAACCTCTAGTTCATGGTATCCTTCAAATGAATATGCTGTACAGAGACGGTCTCATGTTTCAGCCGATATGAACTTCGAGATGTTACAGTATATTTTCTTGATGAAACGCACTGCACATAAGGTTGACGAAAGTTTTTCCACAGTCCACGACTAGTCTCGCTCTTCTTGGAGCCCAATAGGTGGACGATCACTGAGTTCGTGTCAATTTCATGTTCTACTTGAACATGAAAGTGTACGAAACTGGCGAAATACACTCCATCCAGAAAATACAGAAAGATACCATGAATGTCGACCCAGCTGAAAAATGAAACGGTCTTCGTACAGCTCATCCATCTGAAGAATACCACGAACGATATGTTCGACTGAATATCCAGTTAACACTAACCTAATTCGTAAATAAATGTACTTTGCCAATCGTATGCAACCCGGTGTTCGGTTAGAAAATAAATTTTACGGAAATTCGGGGGGATTCCGTCTAGCTGATGAGTTGCAAGACGGACAAGACCATTGCCGGATAGTACTGGAGAACTTGAGTAGTGTGCTTCACAAAGAAAAGTCTCTGTATGTTGTTTCATCAAAACACCGAAGTGGAACTAATAATAGAATCTGTTGGACGTCCTCAACCCGTGATTCACATCAAGGAAAGGGCTTTGTCAATAACCATAATATGGATAGCATTCAAAAGGGGAATCAGAAGATGAAATCAAGGATCAACCTCCACAGGGAGTTACGCCTTTGTCATGTTTTGGACTATGTACGACAATGGACCATTTGATCTGCGGTTTTGTACAGGAGTTAACCCAAATATGGTTTGCCTTCGTAATAATGCACAACACGCATTCGGATGGATGACGGGGTGTCATTCACTAGCAATACAGGGTCTGTTTCAGTCTTAAGTGATCGGAACCTGATTGATGGTTGATTTATGTATTTACTGATGACAGCTGGCAGACAGACAACTTTTTGAATATGGCCATAGCTCGTCACTCCACTCTAAAATCAAATACACCAGCTGTGCAAACTTATCAGTGGACGCATGATCCGGATAGAAACAGCCTAAAACTGTTAACCAAAAGATTGCGTTACTTAGCCACTAAGCCCACCCGATGAGTACCAATAAGGACGAAAAAGCCCATGTGGTCGGAATTGTCGGCATCGGATCATGCAGTTACCTTGAGCGTGCATTAGAGTCTCAAGCCCATGACTTAGTAACTATCAGGTCATCCGCAGTGAGTAATCTCATAAGATGATAACTATTCCCAGTAATCAGATGATTGTCTGAGCGCGGGGACAGTTGACTGGATCGCAGATCACGCCATCGTCCAGTGCTCCGTACAACACCAATGCCTTGCTGCTCGTTTAGTAAGTAGTGATTCATTTAAGCGGATTTACTTAGAACCATTCCCACACTAAACCTGTCACAGACCAGCAACTCAAGTTGGCTCATCAGCAGACTGTAATAGCGAGGGCGCTTCAAACCTGTGACGGTGTAAGTCTATCTTTGTGACGTCCTTACGAAGTGCTGTTCGCTTTCAACAGTATATTTTGATGTGACGTGGCGTAACACATGCCAAAATTGCCATTTTAATTCATTCTCTGTTGGCGGAAGTTCGGTAGGAACTTCCGGAAGTGTCTCTTACTATTCTATTAATAAAAGAGAAATGAACAATCCATGATTTCGAACATCAGCACACAGCTATTGTTTCTATTTCCGAATGTCAGAAATAAGGGACTGTGAGGGTATAAAGCGGTTCCCGAAGAAGGAGGCACCGTATGCGATCAAGTACCCGAAACGCATCGCCAATTCATTCTTCCTCACAAGAGGAATCGTCTAGCGTTAACCCATGAGAGAATATTGGTAGCCCAGGTTACTGTCAACTGTTCATCTTTTAAAAGCAAACACATCTGGTTGAAAAAGTTGAGTATCTCAGGGATTAATCCAGTGACCACTGTTGGGTCTGTGTCAAAACCTATGAGTAAAGGATGCTGCGGGCATTTTGGTTCTTCAGATTAGTCAATACTGATAGGTTGGGATGTATTGCACAGTCCCTTACTGAGGGATTTGTGGTTGGGTTGCACTTCTTCCTGAGTGTGCTCCACATCTCTCAAGGATCGGGCTATGCAGAAATAGTGATTTGTTTTGAGTCACCTTAATGACCAACGTAGTGATCCGTTTCACTGAGGATCCTCGGAAAAGGGACCCGTGTCCCATGGTTTGCTTCCTGCGTCACAAACCACTTTCCACTGACCGAGACTACGTTAACAATAAACCTAACCAGACTGATCGAGTTAGCTATAACGGCGTTCTACTTCATACGCGGAACTGCCTTTGTGCAATCTAAAACAGCCCGCACGAGAGTAGCAAACAAGATCACGACGGAATGCAAACCAACCAGACCATTTGGCGAGAAATAAAGTCAGCACAAGTTCATGCGGCCGTCAGGACTTTAAAATGAAGTCAGTGGAAAACAACAAGTAGAAGAACGGGTTAATTTGAGAAGCTTCCGTTTCGCGCGGGTCGAGTAAAACTGCAACGAAGTTAGAGGGTTGACAAATGAAACGTAGCAGAAGACGATTGTTGTTGTTGTGTTAGATACGTTAGTTACTGTATCTAGAGGACTTACTCCGTCCGCCCATTTGGCAACCATTTTATTATTCCACTCGCCTTCAACAACTATAAGTGGCTTTCTTTCGTTCGGTCCAAGCACCTCGGCTCTAATAAGATCTTTCTTTCCGTTGTAGAACGGTTTCGTCTTGAAATCAATATTGGCAACGTAACCCGATTTTGCGCAGATGATACTCGTTTTCCCGCCTAGTTCTATCCACGGAACGGTCAGAATGTTCCTATGCAAGAAATCCAAAGGATGATAGATAAAACCAGGGTGGGGAATAGTAAAACGGTTGTTGGAGTTGAGTTAACAAGCACGGATGACGGGATTACATTGAATGGAAGTAGTTTGTATGCAAATGATTTCCCTGCCTTTATGGAAAACTTAACACGTGACAACCAATTTTACCACTTCTGAGGAGGCACAGATACGCGGTCTGAGGGGATTACCTCACCACTTGTTTTTACATAGATGGCCCTCACATAGGTGAAGAGCAGTCAAAAGTGGATGTAAACAGGGTTATTTGCTAAGAATGTCCATGTTGTGAAGATGCGCAAAAAGGTATATTGCTCTATTGTAAGACGTTGGATTATAGGGACTTGATTTGTTCTGAACAACTGCTTACTGACTGCAAGTGTTCGACGAAACACGAGGAAAGCAGATATTTGCTGGGAGCTTCCGAATAGTCTATCAGGAAGGGTACAACATTTAGACAGTTCAGAACGAACGATAAGCGGAGGTATAAATTCTCGGACGACAGACAGAAAAGGGCTGCATACCGAATATCATCAGACAAATACCGTTCCAAATCGGAGGTAATAATCAAAACCGTTCTCAAAAGGTTGTGTTCCCAATCTCCTACTTTTACAAACAAACGGAATTCTCACTTAGTGTTATCCCAGGTCATGGCATTATTCCTAGGTTGGTGAAGAAACGTTTGTAAACCAAATGCCACGCTCGGAAAACATATCAATAGCCACCGAATGAACCCGGACAAAGGACTCGTGTGCAAAAACTTCATGCCCATGAAACCGACTGTCATGATTCCAGCAATATGGTCCCTTGTCAGAAGCATGGTGAACGAATGCAATTACATGCCAGTGACCTCCTTGGGAAAAATTCCCAATCAAATTTCTTTTGTACTTTCGCTCCTCTCTATGAAGCGCCTGAGAATGCCTCCTGTCAGGCTGCAACCTAACTACGACTGGGTATGGATAAGTCAGCGGAAGTAGCAGCTTTCCAGCACCAGCCCATCGTTCAGCGAACTTTTACTTATTTTAGAAAACGTAATGTATGTTGATTTGAGATCGATTTACATCCTAGAAACACGGCCCTGTATGACATATCGGTGCATGGGGTTAGAGCCGCCGCCCACATAGTGATGGCTGGCAGGCGTTTGTGGTACATTGCTTCTCGGAGAAACCGTCTGCTATTTTTGGTTTATGGTCTCTTGCCCACCTCAGTGGTTCTTCAGGGAATACGCAAAAGCCTTTGTCCGTGGGGAAATCCCAAACTGTTTCACATCTTCATGTAGCTTCGAATGCCTGCAAGTTACGTACTTGGAAAGAGAAATATTTTCTGAAGTAGTTCACACATCGAAAAACACAAGTAACTTTCCTAGCAGTGAATTACTTCAAATATTCTGTAGGAAAAAAGCAACGACCAGCCTGTCACATGTGGTGCAAGCTATTCTGCTGTTAAGTGAGGCTATTCGCTGACAGAAGTACCCGTCGACGATTCGGGAATGCTTTGGTGTCTGCTGCTTTATTTTGGTATATTTATCCTTTCGATAACGCAGACGGTCTTCGGGCACCCGACGCACGTGCAACCTATGAAGTGATACAGGGGTGACAATTTGCATGACTTACATTGCTCAATCTTTTTTCTTTCGTCTGATATAGGTAGGGAGCACTTAAGAGGTATCTCATACAAGATTTTCGTCAAGTATGTCGGTCGTTTATGATGGGCGCAGAGACGATAAAAACGAAAATCGATGACGCGCAAGAGCCATTGGATGTTTGGCCACAGTTATGCATAAAAAGAGGATTATGTTGAGATAGGTGAGTCAGTGATGCTCACTAACAGGCATGCAAATATCCGCCAAGAGTTTCAAGTCCAAAGCAGGATTTGTAGCAAATAGCAACCTAGCAGTGGTGAGCTTACGTAACTGTTTTCCTCGCCCTGATGAATAAGTATCGGTCAGCAGTACACTCCCACTTGGCTTTGCTAGCTCTTCATCGTTTTACTTGAACAGGTGAAGACGAAAGGGTGTGAATTCTCAATCACAGAACATGACTGTCTTGGTGTTGCGTTTCAACAGGACTCTCGCTCATTGTGAGGTATTAATTACTGTATAGAATTTTCGATTCGCTAAAACCATTTCCTCTGTGAAAGTATGGCAGATTCGGATGATAATTGCGATTGGCTTGAGTATGATGAGACAACAGTGATCATCAGCAATAGTTAGTTTGGGCGGTTAATAGTGAGGTGCCCCTGCCAACCCTCATATGCTTCAAGAGAAATAAGTACTTCAATCTTACGACTATAACATCACCTGGTTGGTTGTATCCTGTCCATTATAAGGATTACCCGCTCACCCCTTTGTAGTAACCGGGGTCGGCCATTCCCGTGCAGCCCAGTCTATAGAAGCAACATCTAACTAATCAGAGACAACAACAAAAGATGAATCCAAACAAATACACCCAGGTACTATCCACTCTGACCACTTAAGCGATTTTCTAACTACAAGAGGATGTAAATGTGCCATCGAGATCACGTTTTTTGTACCCTCCACTGCATTTATCCCACTGGAGCGACCAATGTCGCCAGTAAGCGCTACAAGACTGTATTATTATACGATACCGCCATAATTTTGATGAACGTTCAAAATCTGGCAATCAAGCCCATATAACAGCGAATACCTGAAAACCAGTACTGTTGTTCCGTGAGATAATAGTGAGGAAAGCACACATGATCAGAGGGGCCACACTCGTGGATGGTAGGAAACACATAAAGACCAGGAACGCGTCGAATTTGTGTGGGAAAGATTATTGTGAGCAGTCTGGGAAATGTCTAAGGGGATGATACATTGTTGGGTAGGTCGAAACAAGGCAATCGATGGAACAATATTAACCAGGCTATCGAGTGTCTACCAGGCATCAAAACCAGCTCATACACTTTCTCAGACTTGATAAAAGGGGGTGGTGTGTGGCAAGGCAACCAACGAATACGGGATGTAACAGTACCTAACTTCAGAAAGCTAGCCAGTTATCCTATGACACCATTTTTGGCGAGTAGATCTACAAAACTGGGAGAATTGCCAGTTTCTTAATAGCATGAACCACTAACATTCCAAGAGTTTTCTACAGACAAAGCGTTTTCACCGAAGGGAAATAAACGCGCTCAATGACGCCAAAGAACGAAAAGGCTTCAAAAAATTGACCGCTCACCTTCCATACCCGCAAGGAAATGTGACGACGTACTCCTCATCCAAATTGAGCAGCGAAATGACCGCAGAACCGACCATCTCGACGGCTATACTAAGTCCCAAAAATTTGGACTTTGTCCAAAGGTGTCCATCTAGGGAGATACGCTTACCAATATGTTCGGCGTAGAAGGCGGAAACGGGAGGATGATGAGAGACCTGTAAAACCGAGCAAAAAGACCGTTTCGAGGTTGTAATATAGCGCATAGTTTAGTTCAGAGTGAAGATGTCACTGAGTTAATGGGTTACTCAAAATTACTCAGGCACAGTAGGCGAACAGTTTTGCCCAATATTTGTGATACGATCACATGAGTCCGGTAAATATATAATAGCAGTACAGAAAATCCTCTTGCTATGAGAATCTCAAATCGAATATGTGGATTTGAAAAAAAAATTATGTCCCACTCGATTATAAAGGCCTGGCAGTGCTTGATTCGTATTAAAACCCGGCACCATACTGTGATCGGCCGAACGGTTTAGTCCTTAAATACTAGCCGAGAGGTCGTGCGATCGAATCTCCTGGAAAATTCATGAGACGTGCACGCTGATGATTCTCAACAGCTCTGCAGTACCTGTCGGCCTCCCGGCTGATGATGATGACAAATCTCTGCATAATATCGACATCCTAGGAATAACACAGTGAGTCCTGTGCATAAGGTTAATAACCAAACAGGTGTCACCAGGGAAAAAAGGAACGGAGCTTAATCGATGCTAGAGTTCTGGGGTTACAGAATGTGAAATATTGAAGGAGACACTCCAAAACATGAACAAGTGGATGCCATGAAGAAAATAGAGAATATTTGAGTAGACTACCAAGAGAATTTAACACAGGTTGCTACAGTACAGTGGAGGGTTCCCTTTGAGAACAGTGGTATTTTTGGGATAGAGAGCGAATTAAAAGTTGTAGTGACCTCTGAGTGTAGAAGCATCACATTGCTACAACGCATGATACTATGGCAGCAGAGAGATGATGTTAAGAGGAAAACAGGAACGATAGGCAAAAGTTTTCAGGTGCGATGTTTAGAACGAGACCCGTTCCGTTCGTTGGGATCTAAATTCTGCAACGAACCCCAAGAGAAAAAAACCACGACGCGGCAAGTGCTCTTCTCTCTGATATTCTCTCATACGGGAGGCGAGTCCCCATCGCGAATGAGTGCAGCTTACAGACTCTGAGCTCATCTGATAAAGGTTTGACCAAGACCTAAAATGCGAAAACGCTCATAAGACGAGCCGCACCAACAGTGGCAAGGCTTTTCGCAGCCACTTTCGTATACCTCCACGAGGTCAAACATTGGCCATATCTCTGAATTGAGCACAATATACGGCACTCTTTTCGGGAAACCATATTCAAAAGATGGCGTAACCACAACAACTTTTGGTGATGAACACACGCTCCGACCGAAAAAAAACTTAAAAAACCCAAGACTTCCTTTCTACTTGCCTGATTGCGCATTCCCCAGCACCAGCCTAAGCTAGACACGGTCGTCGAAGACCTGAAGGCGTCCCTGTTCAGCTGCATGCAGAGGCCAAGTCCCACAGTTATACAACAAAACAGCCCGTGCTATACGTACGTGCTCTGAGATTTAGGATATTGTTGTGGGCCTCATGCTTGCGGATGAACCGATTGAGGTAGTAGACAAATTTGTTTACATGGGCAGCTGTATCAGTGCCGGTGGTCTCGTGGAAGATGATATTTCCATCCGGATTGGGAAGGCCAGAGCAACTCTTGCGAACCTACGTCACCTGTGGCGTAGGCGTGACATCAGCTTCTCTGTCAAGGGTCGAGTTTACAATGCTGCGGTGCGCTCCATATTACTATATGGATCAGAAGCCTGGCCTCTGCGTGCTGAGGACGTCAAAAGACTCTCAGTGTTCAACCATCGATGTCTTCGGAGCAATGCCCGAATCTAGTGGGAACACCGCATAAGCAATTCTGAAGTACGTCGGATGGTATTCGGGAGAAATAACTCACCCTCGATAGATGAACTGATCACACTACTTAGGTTGCGCTGGATTCGCCAGGTGCTGCGTATGCCAGTCGACCGGCTTCCTCGGAGGGCTCTTTTCACCCAACCAGGTGAAGGGTGGAAGAGAGCCAGAGGCGGTCAAACAATGACTTGGTAGCGAAGTATGAAAGCCATTACCAGCAAACTCAGCTGCGCTAGTCATTGCCGTCTTCCTGGATGGGGACCCCGAGATGGGGCCACATCAATGGCTAGAGACATTGTCAGACATGGCCCAGTCGCGCCCTCAATGGCGCTCGTGCATCCAAGCTATTGCCTTCATGCATAGCTCCTTTTCCACCCCCCCACTTGACAGTGCTGGATTTATGCACCAATTTATCAACTCCCGCCTGCAATGCGCAGTTACCTACCTCTCCCCCCCAAATCATCGGTGGACGAAACTGTGGCAGCTACAACCACTGTACGACGAGTACGTGGTTATTACAACTGACAATGATGATGATGATGTGGGCGACAGTTTTCTTAATGCCTTCTTAATACAACGAATCAGAGTCTCGATAGCCGGATGCGCTTGGCCAAACCAGAAAACCAGTGAACGGGAGTGTCGTGTGTGTAGCAGGAAACGGGCTGCTTATAAAGCTCACGTCGAAAGTTCTAGGCGGGCCATAAAGTGATAATAAAAATAGAACTCATCTGTCAAGGACAATTAAAGAACAACCAATCGAATGTCCCGACGAAAACAGTTGTTTCATTGGCGGTTGTGTAGTCACATTCGGAGCTGTTTCTCTTAGAAGATATGCCACCACGAATAATTCAGATTAAAAAACACGACCCGAGGCTTCAAGACACGTGCTCTTGCTTCATCAGCTTGAAATATCCCTATGATAAAATAACGGCAAGGCCATTCGAGTGGTGACCTTTTCGGTATCTCTATTGGCTCGGATGTACGTAACACGAATGGAATCGGTTAAAATCGATAGTCAGTTATGACCGACGAAATTGGTGTGATTTCGGCGAGTCACGTGAGAGCGACAAGTGATTACCCATCCACGTGAGACTCGACGTCTATACAAAAAGTCTCTGTACATAATTTTAGGCTTGAAAATCTGGATGCCAACTGCTTTTGCGAAAGGCAGAATGTTGATCCTAATGCATTTTGGCACCCTGACTAGATAGACAGATATGCCTAAGAGCGATTAGAAACTCAACCGTGTTTCCACACATAAAACGGAACTGTTCAGGTTGCCTCACTGACCTCTCTGCTCATATGGAACTATATCGATCGAACGACGGTCTGATCACAACGCTCGCTTGGCAGACTGTTCCGTTTATACCATCTTGAAACTTGATAGAAGGTTGAATTACTAACCACTTTTAGGCAAATCTAGGAGAGCACAAGTCAAGATATGAAAGTTTATATGAACTAAGCTTTTATCTGTGGCAGCATCAGTGGGCATCCGTATGTTTAAGTCTGAACTTTGAGTATAGGAACGTCTTGTGCAGACGTTGAGTCTCATATGGCCACACAATTACTAGTCAGTCTCATGTGACACCCCGATATCTCACCAGTTTTATCGGTCTTAAGTATTGATTATCGATTTAAACTAGACTGACGTTTACCAACTGTTCTGACCGATTCTGTTCGTTTTACATACGTTCAAGCGAAGGAATATACAAAAAAGGTCGCCTGCGTCCGAATGATATTCAACTTCGCGCGTCACAACAGTTGGAACATGCAAAACTACCAAAATAGGTAAAAAGTTACAGAAGCTGAAGTGTCTCTCCTCGGATTGTAAGTAGGTCCAGGAGTATGACCTTACGATTTGTGGGTACAGTACTCATGCCAAAAGGCGCCTCCCCCTTCTAAGGCGAGAGCGAAGTCATCTGTATATTCAGATCGGAAAGTGTTAGGCAGGAATCCATGCGGATCCCTGTTTGTCTTACGTGAACGCTAGCTTGAGAGGCTCAGACCGAGAACTAAGCTGAGGAAAATACCGTTACAACAATTGGCGAACGGGAACCCCCGATGTCAATCGAATTTGATCAGCTCCGAGAATTATTGCAGCAGCAACAAAAGCAGTTTGAAGAAGCGCAACTGAAGCTCATTGAATCACTGACTCAGAAACTGCATATCCAGACAGCAGCAGTCAGTACTGGTGAGTCTTCTGTTTCCTCAACTGATGCAGCCGCGGTCTCAATTACGGAGTTCACATTTGACGCTCTTTCTGGTCACACTTTTGACTCCTGGTTCAAGCGGTACGAAGACATGTTCAAAACTGATTTTTCCAAATTTGACGATGGATGGAAAGTCAGACTATTGCTGCGAAAACTCGGCACACCGGAGCATGAACGGTTCACAAATTTCATTCTCCCCAAGCTGCCCCGCGACCTCAGCTTTGATGAAACGGTCAGAACACTGTCCCAGATATTCGGCGATCAAACATCAATGTTCAATATCCGCTACCAATGCCTTAAGTTGGCCAAGAA